TTTGATGGCCCATTTACTAAATCACTTATTGGGTATTTTAAGCACTTATTGGGGTGGGGAAGTTTGGTGAACTACTTTCTCCACAAGTGCTTAATTTAGCATAAATGACAGCCTTAGCGTCCATTTCACTCACACATATAAATAATGGTTTTCACATATTATATTATACGTTTGAAAGAAACTCACCACATCACCACATCATGACACATAAGAATCCATGTGGGCCCACACGTTGAGTACCACGTGGACCCACAAGTATGCAATGATAACTTAAAAAAATGATAACATTTATTATTCATATTAATAATAACAAAATTAATAAAATATTGGATTAATCACAAACATGCAATGAGAAATTAAAAAAAGTAGGATAATAACTCTTATTCGTATTAATAATAAAAAATGAAAAATTGGATTAATAAAAAAAGGAAAAGAATCACAAATATACAGTGAGAACTTAAAAAAACAACAGGATAACATTTATTACTCATATAAATAATAAAAGCAATTAATGAAAATTTGGATTAATCAAAAAAAGAAAAAAACATGGCAAATATGCAATGAGAACTTAAAAAAGTAAAAAATAAATTGGGATTACATTTATTATTCATATTAATAATAAAAAAAATTAAATAAAATTTGAATTAATTACACAAAATGGAAAAAATCATGAATATGCAATGAGAAATTAAAAAAAAAGTATGATAATAAGTTTTATTCATATTAATAAAAATAAATAAATGAAAATTCGGAATAATAAAAAGAAAAAAAACATCACAAATATGCAATGAGAAGTTATAAAAAATTATCACATTTATGCAATTATTCCTTAATTCAGATTAAGCAAAATGTAATCACATAATCAATTATTCATATTAAAAAATAAAGAAAAAAACTCAGCAACCGCATATTCCAACATATTATTAACATAATCTATGACCATTAATAAAAATGAGAATGGTCATTCTCGTTTTCATCAAATACCATGATTTTGTTACCAATTTTACCCTTTAAGTGCAAAGTTATATCGAGTATATAAACACTGAAAGAGTGCATATAAAATCTATGACCATTAATATCTATATCTATGACCCATTAATAAAAATGAGAATGGTCATTCTCGTTCTCGTCAAATACCCTTATTTTTTTACCAATTTTACCCTTTAAGTGCGAAGTTATATCAAGTATATAGACAGTGAAATAGTGTGCATATAAAAATGAAAAAAAATAATAATGCATGGTTTGGACACTTGTCACAAACCACTGCATGTTTTGGACATCTGTGATAAATCAAATGTTAAGTGTTCTCCAATTTTTTTTAGATGAAAATCAGAGGCTTACCAACAAAAATTATGGCAAATTAACATGGGATACATGCCCTGATACCCAAAACATTTTCAACATTGTCAATTTCTTAGGCTTGAGCCTAATAGAGCTCAGCTCATGAAAAGCTCAAGTTAATGATCCATTTTGTTTGATTTACTAATTGGAAGTTCATATTTTGTTCTTTGGTTCTTTTTGTTTTCAGTAATCTTTGGCTTTCTTAGTGGATTGATCGAGACAATCTTTTTTTATTCCCAAAAAAAAATCTAGAGGGGGTAGAAGATGCCAAAATTAAGTGATTATTTAACCAATTAATAAAAGAGGTAAGTCTGTTCTATAAATCAATTCCCTTTCTGTTATAGTCTTTTTTAAATAATTTTCATTGTAGCCACCTAAAGTCTTTATAGTAAGTTGAGGATATGCTCATAATCCTTTGATATAAGTACTTTTTTTTTTATTTTAAAATTTACATTTTTGTATTTGTAAAGTTATATATCCAATTTATGATTTATAATTTTCTTTGAGTGATTTTCAGAGATCTGGCAATGAGGATTGTGGGGGCTGAGATGGGTTTGACGATGGTGAAAGATTAAAGTTTCCTCGTGAACTGGTTGCGGCTAAGTGGGTTTTCTTGTAGGCAAGGGCTTCTCACCGTTATTGTGATATACATACTGGGTTTGGAAGTCGCTTAAACCAAAATATGTTCAGAGAGTCTTGGATGTCAAAAGGCTAGGTCATTTGAAATTCTTAAGTCTCCCTTCTTTTAATTTCATTGCTTGTCTCAAACTTTAAAATTACATTTATGTTTTTTGTTTAAAACAATTCTTCTTGAGTTATGGCATTGAAACATTATAAGGGATGTTTTTTTGTTCTTTTTTCTTTTGTTTTTTTGGTAGAATATTAGTATTTTGGAGATTATTTGTATAAATTGCAAGTATGTGTGCTTATTTGCTCTCTCTCTCTCTCTCTCTCTCTCTCTCACACACACACACACACACCATGTGGAGTCCAATAACAACCAAATCAAAATATTCTGCATGTAAAGCTACATACTCCACTAATTAAAAAAAGAGAGCAATTGTCAAATACTTTATTTTAAAAATAATTATAAATGCTTAATATTAATTATTCCTTTTACCCCATTGTAATTATTTATTATTAATTATTCTTTTTATCCCGTGCATTGCACGGGCTTTTTACTAATCTTCAATCAAAATGATAGAAAAAGAAACCTCCAAAACCATAACTAAGAACAAAAAAATGTCAAAAGGTTTACAACCGTTAAAACCATCTCAAAACCAGGTGAAAATCGAGAGTATAAATGGTAAAAAAGGTTAAAAAATGAAAAGCTAACCTAATCGTCGATTGGTTTCTTGGTCATGTTAGTGATTGTCTATTGCCAATGATCCTGGTGCACTGCTAGGGGTGGCAATGAGCTGAGATTTTCACGACCTGCTCGAGCTCGGCTCATGAAAAGCTCAATTCGGCTTGGTTTCAACCGAGCTCAAGCTCAAGCCTAATAGAACTCGGCTCGTGAAGCTCACGAGCCAAGCTCGAATATATATATATATATATATATAGAACATAATATATATAATAAAATTAGTATAGTTCTTAATTATTATAATTCTTATTTTTTTTAAATATAAAATAAAAACTATTTTTATATATAATTTTGTATTTTTATAAAATATATTTCCTGAAATTGAACTCGAATCGAGCTGAGCTCAAGCTTATGAGTTATTGCCTCGAATCGAGCTCGATCTCAATATTCTAGCTTGAACCGAGCTCGAGCTCGAGCCCTATACAACATTGGCGAGCCGAGCTCGAGCCTCATACTATTCGGCTCGGCTCGGCTCGAATCCACCCCTATGCACCACGTTTGTGTTGACTTTCTATTTGAATGAAAGGAGGATGAGGGATTTCTCCTCATGGGGTATTATTGGAATTAATTAAAATAGGAAGGGACTAGGTTATCCCAAACAAATGGAACAAGTACTTCAAGAAGTGCTTAAGTGGTTATTTTTTTTTGTTAAGCGCTTCTTTTTAGACAAATAACTTATTCTTGACTTTTTACCAAACAGTAATAAATGCTTATTTATCACTTAATGTGTGATCCCAACACTTATTTTAAGTATTATAGAAATAAACACTTAATTGAAAATGTCATATAGCTATATTTCAAATTTGCTTATAAATAAAACGTACAAGGCTTCTCACTAGTGAATAAAGAAAGATTGAATATGTTTACTATCAAAAATAGTATTCGAAAATATACAAGGGCTTTAAGGTTTTTGCTTTTATCTTTTTTTAGGGTAAATTACAAACACCCCCTTGTACTATGGGATAAGTGATAAAGTCGCCTATATTTTTTTTTGCAACAAAGTTTAGCCGTTAGACAAAGAATTTTCATCCAGTTGTTTAAATGTCCAAACTATCATTTTTTATACTATTCATTGTATTCTTGATTGAAGTTAGGAGTCCGACGTCAGTCCAAGTAGCTTCAGTTAGGGCACTGTTCGCACATCATAATAATGCACCACGTGTTATTAAAATGTGCGTGTGTTTGAAACGTGCAAAGTGACAAAGATGAGATATCATAAAACATTTGAAGAAAAATAAAGAACCTTTCACTCACCATGGCGTGAAAACAAGCTCCGTAATCATGTGAAGCGGCGAAGACACGACCGCTTCAATTCCATAACGGCATTTCAAAAGAAATGAGCTGCACCCGCTGAAGATAGAAGAGGCCGCGCGTGACCGATCGACGGGAATCCATTAATGGTACTGAAGTTACAAGACACATAAAGCGGAAGGAAGGAAAACAATAGGTTTGAAGAGAAAAAGGGCAAGAAAAAGAAAATAGAAAAAAGTTTGGGATATTTTGGTGATTTAACGCAAGTCTAAAGTTTAGGGGGACTTTATCACTAACCCCATAATACAAGAGAAGAGGGGTCTTTGTAATTTRCCCATTTTATTTTAAATATTCAAGCGAAAATTTGTCTGGACATTCGTTTAGATATCCATATGACATGGCATCTCTAATTGCTTGGACCAATGACAACCGGGTCGTTTTTTTGGTACATTGTCTTTCGTCAAAACAATCATCAAATGAGTGAAAATTGTCACTTTCTATATGGGAGCGAAAAGAAACTTAAAAAGGGTAAATCACTGAAACATCCCTTAACTTTTTGATATAGTTGTAAGTAGATCCCCTCAGCATAATCTTCTATAAAAATGACATGAAAATATCCGAAATACCTTTGAATTATTTTTAACAAAAAAAAATTATTTTTTAAATATTGTCTTCATATGAATCACTGCTCCAAATCTTTCTTTTTAAAATTGATTTATTTTTTAAATTTATCTTTTATATCAATCACTTAAATGTAAAATTACAACTTAAATTCTCTTTATATCAATCACTCCATAGTCCAAACCCTTCTTTAGGAYATTTTTATGCCTTATTTTAGAATATTATATAGAGGGGGTACTTCAAACTGTATCTAGGCAATAGTTAATAACGTCAGGGAGGTTTCAGCAATATACCAAAAAAACAACCGACTCGCGTCGCAGCCACGTAGATGACTAAAGAAATGCCACGTGTGTTTTTGGCGGGAAAATTTCCCGCCAAAATGACCGTCCTTCGTCGATGTAGAGAACTAAACGAACCCTGAAAGCCATATCTGAAGAATGCAAAACCCTGTTCCAGTCACTTTTCCCGCCATTAGGTAAGAGGGCGAAAAAACCTCGAAAATCCGAGGAACTCCACCGTTGATAGGAATCAACGGTTATTTCCGTTTTGCTATTTCCACCGCCGGCTGCCTCTTAATCCAACGTCAACGGCATGAACGGCTACTTCTGACGGGAAAGGAGGAGAAACCGCCGCATAAACTGGTTTTGGGAACCAACGGTAGCGTTAGATCCCATGAGATCTCATTATATGACWGCCAATGGTTTGATATATAATCTGAATCTAGTTTGCTTTGTGTTTTCAGGTGTTATTTTCGTTTGGTCTACTATCCCGTCAGTTCTCGCATCATCTTCGAAATTTCATTTCAATGGTGTGGCCAGATCTCATGACATCTACTTCTACTGCCTCAGAAATTACATCATCTGATTCAATATATATGTATTTTTTTATATGTTTCCAGGCATCAGATCCCGACAGAGGCCAGATTGGACTTGTTATCACCCGATCTACATAGACGCTGTGATATTTCATCAAGCGTGCTTCTATCTGTTAACCACTGCAACTTGGAAGGTAAATAACCTCCGGCACTTGCAAATATTGTTGTCCACATTTATGCTTGTCTCTACCTTTCTTCTAGCAGTGAATGAAAATTTTCTAGCTTCCGATTAGCAATAGAATGTCTATCCCCTCTTTCCCTTTTCAATGTTTTTAGGGGGTATTATTATTTGTGTGGTTGCTTTCTTTGTTTTAATCCTTCCCCCATTTTCTCTGTTTTAGTGAAGAAGCAATGTGATCAAATGAATAATTAGAAGAAAACTTTCAACCAAATTTAATTAGCATATGGCACATGAATATTTAGTAATATTACTTAATTAATATTAGAGTAATCAGGAGCAAAATGTTGGAATGAGTATTTATTAAGAAAAATGAGTAATGAGAAGAAGTTTGCCAGACGAGTAATCAGAAGTAATATGCCAAATGAGTACTTATTAAGGCATATTTGCTAATTCTCATGCAAATTAGAGGATTAAATAGGGATGGTTGTATTTGGTGTCTGTCCTTCCAAGGTAGACCTTAGGGGTTTATGCATGTGAGATGGATGAGCTGTAATTGTCTGGTTTTTATCTCCTTATCACAAGGAGTCTTCATTGTATGCACTTTTCCTTTCTATTTCTTATTTAATAAAAGTTTCATATGTATTAACAATAGAATGAATCAATGGACTAAGTTTCACAATCTTGGTATGGTTTTGAATAGACACAATCTCCATAGTATTGAAGTGGGTATCAAATTATAAGTCTCATTTCTTTTACAAGATTTTTTTTTAAAGTTGTTATGTAATATCCCTTTAAAATCTGGTAAACAAACCATTGTATATGATCCTCTTTCTTCAGTTAGGAAATGTTTTTTTCCTTGTTCTGTCATTATCTTAGGTGCCACATTAGTTCTGCTGATAGTAAGTTGACTTTTAATTTGGTATAAGGTAACTAGATAATGAAACTGGTTTTGCTACACTTCCTTTTCAGTACAAGGTAATTGGATATCATGCTTATTAAGTAGGTTGTGAACTTGTAAACGACTGAGACTGAAGCCAGGTTTGATTACTGAGGTGTCCTCTGTTTTTCATATTGATTAAGTAGGTTTTGACTTCTTAAAGGCTGAGACTGAAACTGTGTTAACAATAAGAACACCTTCATAAAATAGGTTCAGCCTGAAGAAGATTCGAATCCACCATTGAATGGTTGAGTTTGTGGTGGTTGAACTCGTTTTATTGAGTTTCTGATTGATAGACAGCTAAAATTGTGATAGTGGGGTATGAGGCTTCAGACGGTTTAATATTGGACTCCAAAATATGGTTATATATGGGACTTCAAATGGTACTGGGGACTGTGCCCTGTAGTTGTAACATTATAATTCAAACAAACAAATGCCAGCAAACTTGTATTTGTTAGTTTGCTCTCTTCCAACCAAACAGCAATGGTGCAAATGGCTATTCCAACTAACCTAAACTTTGCATTTACCTGAACCGTACATATTTGCATTTGCACTCTGCATATTTGTGTTTACACTCGTGCCAAATGCAGCCTTAAGAGACACCAAACTCACCAAGAAGAGAAAGAGAAGAGAAGAGACACAAAAGAAGGAAGGGACCCTCCTCTCAAATGGTAGCGTTGGCACCATATTTCCATTAATTCTATAATAATGTATTAATTCTCTGATCTTTATCTGGCCTAATTCCAACAACTGGTTCTTTGATTTTGGCAGGATGATTCCGAGAACCAACCATCGACACCAGGCTCACCCACCTCTGCGGGGTTCAGCACAGATCGATTACCTCCGAACACCAGCCGGACCTCTGATACCTACTCCGACGATGATGAGGCTGCTGTTGATCCTGAGATCATTAGGGATGAACCTGATGATGGGGATGCAGAAGAAGAAGAAGGAGAAGACCTTTACAATGACAACTACTTGGAGTAAGAAAATAGATTCTTTCTCTTTTCAATAGTTACTACTTTGATTTTTAATCTGATTTTTTTTCCTTTGTGGAATTTTAGCGACTACCGTCGGATGGATGAGCACGACCAGTATGAATCAATCGGTATCGATGACTCATTGGAGGATGAGAGGGACTTGGATCAAATCATGGAAGACCGCAGAGCGGCAGAAGTCGAGCTAGATGCCAGGGGTGGTCAAAAGAGTAATCGGAAACTCCCCCGGCTTCTGCATGACCAAGGTAATGAGATCAACATAATCTCAAGACCCTATACTGTCATTCTGCTCCTTTCTTTTAGGATATCTGACAGTTGAACCCTTTCAGCTAATGTATTCCTATTTCCTAAAAGCCCTAGTTATGATCTAGTAGTCTGATTTATTCAAAAAATGGAAAAAAATAAACATTCCCTTGACTTACCATCAAACAGGAAAATCTATACTCTACACGTTTACAATGTCAGTGGTTTTGGTCTTAGTGTTGAATATAATAATGTTTACAATCAATACTATACGAATAAAGGGCGAGTCCTACATTAAATCAGTCAGAGTCAGAATCCTTTGTGGTTTGTGAATTTGTATTGTGCTTCTTCAAAACAAAAAAATGTGTGTCAGATAAGAGATGAATATGTTTGTTTTTTGTCTTAATGTTATGTTCAAAAGAGTGTTGTAACAAGATTGAGCTAAACTGGGAGAATGATAGCTCCAGTCCTAGGTCGTGGTTGTAATCAAAGATGGTGATCAGCTGTTTAATGGGTTTGTCATAAAGAATTACATATGCAAAAATTCAACATGATTTAACCAGTTTCGACATCTGGTTTGTGGTCCTGGAGTTGTAAAGGATTGCTTTTTCCACCATATGGCTGAATACATTAAACTTGTTATCTGCAATCCTTTATTAGGGTAGCCTTTCCAGCTAGGTAACCTATGGCATACCTGGATGGTGAATTTATCTTCCTAGTAAATTGGATTGATTCATGGATCAGTTTTTGTGCTAAAAAAATAACTTGTGCTTTGCAACGCTACTCCATCCAAAACAGAATTAAGAACACAGGTTTAAAAATTCCTTCTGTCATGGAACATCAGGAGATTCTCTTCTTAAGGTCTATATGTCCTAGTGACTGCCCAACTGTCACCAAAAGAACTGCCATTAACCATAACAAGTGAATTGTATGTGGATATTTTGTTATATGATGTTTCTCGTAACCCTCATCTTGTGCAATGAACTAGGTATCATCTTTAGGCTGCCAACATCATATGCTACTCATAAAAAAAAACATCATATGCTACTCATACAAGCATTAAGGTAACTTAGATAACTAGAATTCAGATATCTTTAAGGCCTTATTTGAAAATGGTTTCTGAAGCAATTAACTGGGTCACTTTAGTCTCTTACCCAAGGTATTTGCACACTGCAATACATGCGTATCAATGTAAGCCCAGTTTACATGAATGGTTTCAAACTTAGAAGACCTGATTAGAGGTAAATGTAAGCTCAAACTTTTTTTATTGGAAAACACTGCATTGTATTGATTTAAAAGAATTATAAAACACAATGAGAGAAGGCACCACATCCCTGCAGGTAGTGCCAACTAATATGCCCTGTTACACCCTTCTAATCAACCATATTAGAAAATCAGTTGAGTTCTGTTTACCCCTTGTTTGTCTAGAAAATCAGTCAAACCGTTTGCTTCCCTTTTTGTCCATTGGAATTGAACTTGTAATTTCTGTGCCAACTTCCTCACTTCTATCAGTACATGACTCTATTGCCAATTTAACAAGCTGTTCCCTAAACCTCTTACTAAGATGTGGGAATCTCCTACTTTAATATTTCTCATACTTAGCAGCTTTCCCAGTTTAAATCCTTGGTGCATGACAAGTAGTTCGAGCTGTAATGAGTCTCCTTGTTGTACTGATCCTAAATAAAAATCCACAAGTTGATACTTCATTCCTGTGATAGTTTAACTTGAAAAGGTTTTTAATAAGCATGGAAATCTTCAACCCAAGGTTTTGGTTTCAGACACCGATGAGGATGTAAACTACAGGCCTCCAAAAAGGTCAAGAGCTGATTTCAGGCCTCCAAGAGGACCAAGAAGCTATGATGATACTGATGCAATGCAAAGTTCACCAGGAAGGTCACAACGAGGGCACTCAAGAGACGATGTTCCAATCACTGATCAGACAGATGATGACCACTATGAGGTGTTAAATTATCCTAAGCTCAAAATTATACCTTTGTTACAAATGAATTTTATTTTGGGTTTTGTTTGGTATCCTTATAATAACTGTTGTGGAACATATTTGGCAGGATGAAGATGATGACGAAGGTGAGTTTGAAATGTACCGTGTCCAAGGAACATTAAGGGAGTGGGTTACTAGAGATGAGGTGCGTAGATTCATCGCCAAGAAGTTCAAGGAGTTCTTGCTAACATATGTGAACCCAAAGAATGAACAAGGGGATTTCGAATATGTACGGCTAATAAATGAGATGGTTTCAGGTGAAATTTCTCTCATACTATTCAAATCTCTTTAACATTTAAACCAAACTTAAACTGTGAATAATTCATTATTGCTGTATATATACACAATCATGAAATATTTTGTTCTTTCCTTACCTCAATATGCTGGATATTCTGTCTGCAGCTAATAGATGTAGCTTGGAGATTGATTACAAGCAATTCATTTACATTCATCCCAACATTGCCATTTGGCTAGCTGATGCACCTCAATCAGTCCTTGAAGTTATGGAAGAAGTTGCCAAGAATGTTGTATTTGATTTACACCCTAATTACAAGAACATCCATCAAAAGATATATGTTCGGATTTCAAACTTACCAGTTTATGACCAAATTCGCAACATAAGGTGATTCAAATAGGCCCCTAGTAGGTTATAAGTGTTTTTTTTCTCTGTTTCCATCCTCACTCCTGTTTGCAATCTGTGTTGTGATGCACACCAGGCAAATCCATTTAAACACTATGATTCGTATCGGTGGAGTTGTGACTAGACGGTCTGGGGTTTTTCCCCAATTGCAGCAGGTGAAGTATGATTGCAACAAATGTGGGATGGTTCTTGGTCCATTCTTCCAAAATTCGTATTCAGAAGTCAAAGTGGGATCTTGTCCTGAATGTCAGTCGAAAGGACCATTTACTGTCAATATCGAGCAGGTTAGTTTTCTATGAACCATCTACATGGTTGACAACAAGTAAAGGTCAGATAACTAACATTTTTTTTTTTAAAATTTTACCATGTGTTTTTATAGACAATCTACAGGAACTATCAAAAGCTCACCCTTCAGGAGAGTCCCGGAATTGTGCCTGCAGGTCGACTACCGAGATACAAGGAAGTGATACTCTTGAATGACCTGATAGACTGTGCCCGTCCAGGGGAAGAAATTGTATATCTCTGTCTCAGAATTATATGTCATGTTGTTACTTTGAGCCCATGAGTACCATTTTAATGGATGTCTCATGTTATCGTGCAGGAAGTGACAGGCATATACACAAACAATTTTGACTTATCTTTAAATACAAAAAATGGTTTCCCTGTGTTTGCTACAGTGGTTGAAGCAAACTATGTCACCAAAAAGCAAGATCTCTTTTCAGCTTACAAACTCACTGAGGAAGACAAGGATGAAATTCGGAAATTGGCTAAGGATCCCAGGATTGGTGAAAGGGTTTGTTATTAAGAATATTATTCCCTTTAACATTCCCTTTGTATTTTTGGTAACTGCTGATTTTCTAAAGCTATATAACTTAAATCAGATAATCAAGTCCATAGCACCATCTATCTATGGCCATGAGGATATAAAAACTGCAATAGCTCTTGCAATGTTTGGCGGCCAGGAGAAAAATGTTGAAGGGAAACATCGACTGCGTGGTGATATAAATGTACTTCTTCTAGGAGATCCAGGCACAGCTAAATCACAATTCCTCAAGTAAGCATCGCCAGACTTAATTATTTCATACTTCTAACCAGATTGTCTAATCATCAARTGTTACTTGTAGGTATGTTGAGAAAACTGGGCAGAGGGCTGTATATACAACTGGAAAAGGAGCTTCTGCTGTTGGGCTTACGGCAGCAGTCCACAAGGATCCTGTCACTCGGGAGTGGACCCTTGAAGGAGGAGCACTTGTCCTAGCTGATAGAGGGATCTGCCTTATTGATGAATTTGACAAGATGAATGATCAGGACAGGTAATAAATTTACATAAAATCATTTTGATTCACCTGTAGAAGTATGGGTATACAATTTCTTTTTTGCTTGGTCAGAGTGAGTATCCATGAAGCAATGGAGCAGCAGAGTATTAGTATATCAAAGGCAGGCATTGTCACGTCTCTCCAGGCTCGTTGCTCTGTCATTGCAGCTGCAAATCCAATTGGAGGAAGGTGAGAAAGTCGATAGGGTTCATTCAACTAATACATAGTTTGGTACTGTAAGAGATACCCATTTTATATTGTGACTTATAGTTGCATGTGGTTTACCTACTCATTGGATAAAGTTGATGGTGCATGTATTCTTAAATCTATTTTAGATTCAACCATACAATTATTCTCCCTTTTTCATTTTTCCTGGTTTCACTAAGAGGTGACCAGCCCATTGGATCATCCCCAAATATTTTCATGTTTGCAACTTGTGAGCGGGGACGCAATCTTACTGCCCAAAATGGAGCCATGCTTGATTATAGATTTTCTGCCATTTCCTATAACCACTAACATTTCAGAATCAATTGTTTACAGATATGATTCTTCGAAGACTTTTACGCAAAATGTTGAACTGACAGATCCAATCATTTCTCGTTTTGATGTCCTCTGCGTTGTTAAGGTCATTGGTTGTTTTCTCTGCTAAGATCTTGTTAACTTAAAACTTCTAAGTGCTGTCTTTGATGGAGAAGACAATTGATTACTTGCAGGATGTGGTTGACCCAGTCACAGATGAAATGCTTGCCAAATTTGTTGTTGACAGCCATTTCAAATCACAACCCAAAGGTGCTAACTTGGATGACAAATCCATAAGCCAATCCCAAGAAGATCCTCCAGCCTCTGCCAGGCCCGTGGACCCTGAGGTTTTGGACCTGATTCTTATCTAATATCTTCCTGTGAATTTACTTCATTTCCTATTCAATTTATTTGTCTTCTGTCTAATCAGATACTCTCTCAAGATATGCTAAAAAAGTACATAACCTATGCCAAGTTGAATATATTCCCAAGATTGCATGATGCTGATTTGAACAAGCTCACTCATGTGTATGCTGAACTGCGAAGGGAGTCTTCGGTGAGATTAAATGGACTTTGGCTTTTTTTTTTCCTCCTCACTTCACCACTTTGATTTCTTCATGATATACGACTTCTTGTCATTCTTGGCATGATAAATCTAGCATGGACAAGGAGTACCCATAGCAGTGAGGCACATAGAATCAATGATACGGATGTCTGAAGCACATGCGAGAATGCACCTTAGAGAACATGTAACTCAGGAAGATGTGGACATGGCAATACGTGTCCTACTTGATTCATTCATTTCAACACAAAAGTTTGGGGTGCAAAAAGCTCTACAAAAGGTTCAGTTTTCAACTTTTATCGGAGCATAGTTCTTTGAATTTGTCTACACATACTAGCATCAATAATGTCATTGTCAAATAGGGGCTTCAGTTTTTGTGCAGACACTGTTATATCATCATCATCATCGTGCAAGCCTTATCCCAACTATATGAGATCTGCTACATGAATCCTGTTTCACCATCTGTTCTATTTAAAGCCATATAATCTGCAAATATTATATGATACACTCTAATTAGCATAAATTTTCTATGGAAATTGAAGAATCAAGAAAGCAAAATTGTAGTGTTGGATGCCATGATTGTTAATACTAATCATTCAACATGGGATAAAAGGCATTATTTCTTCCCAAAAAACAGTAATCATCTATAACCGTTCAGGCTGCTTACCAAGAAAAACAAGAGAAAGGGAAAAAGGCGATAACAGCAAATTCTAGTCTAGTAACTGATTTGGCTTGTCTGGCAAGTATTCAGATGTTTAGGTTAATTAATCATGTGCTGATGGTAATACAGACTGGTTTTTATTGGTATTCAATCTCAAGAGCTATCTCCATGATCACATCTTCATCTTTACTAATGTATAGCTTGTAGTGTTTTCCTTGAAAAATTGAGTCAGTTTGACTTGCCTTACAGAATTAAGCAATTCTATCATCACTTTAGTTAAATGACTTTTATTATTCTAGCTTCTACGTGAACCACATAAAATAACTTGCCTCTGACATTCTCTTAGAAGGAATTAATTAAAGGGCATTCTTAATATTGTTGCAGAGCTTCAAAAAATACATGACATTCAAGAAGGATTATAATGAGCTGCTCCTCTATCTACTCCGGGGGCTGGTGAAGGACGCCATCAACTTTGAAGAACTTGTATCTGGGTCGACGGCAGGGCTTACCCACGTTGAAGTGAAGGTGGAAGAGCTGCTTAACAAGGTATTGAGACGTAAACTTGTGCTTTCCTTGTTTAGACATGCTTTCACAATCTAAGACCTTGTGTTTTTTGCTTGTTGGTTGATGCGTCTTTGGTGTAGGCACAGGATTATGAAATTTATGATCTGAAACCCTTCTTCACAAGCACCCAATTCTCTAAAGCCAATTTCGAGTTAGATGAAGAGCGAGGAGTGATAAAACATCCCCTTGCGAGATAAGAAAAGGAGAAGATGACTAGGGAGGTACACTTGTTTAAATGTTGGACTAGAACCTTAAATTGATGCTTGAAGAGAAATGGAGCATGATGCAGAACATATGGATTTTGATGGAATATGGTGAAGAGAATCCGGAGGAAGCAGCCTGGATATTATCTTCACATCCAAAGTCACGGTTCATTGTCATGTTTTAATGTCATCCATATTTGATCGTTTTAAGGGTTTTAGTTCTTGAATATCATTTCAATCTCAACTGTAGAATATATGATAGGGTTATATATTTTTTCTGGCGAGGCCAGCTTTTTTGTTTATAATACAGTGGTAAGGGCCATTTTTGTATGTGAGGGAAACAGAGGATATTTTTTCCCATTTTGGATCCGCATGTTTCAAGAGAGAAGGCCAAGGGTGGGATACACACGGTTTCTTTAGGAGCTAAATTTTGTAGGTAGCAAAAGGCGTCATCGTCTCGTCGTTTTCTAAAATTTTACAATGGACATTGCTTGGCACTTCGGTAGCCTCCCAAGTAACCAAGCGGCCAAACCCAGCGCGGATCGAATTTCGGTTAGCTGGATCTGAATGCTATGGTGCTATGGCTGTAAGGCTTGTTGCGGAACCGGTTCCACGCCACGCCACGCCACGCCAGTAATAGATTCATGGGCCTAGGGGTGTTCACCGTGGGGCAATTTTCTGGACCGAACCGATTTGTTTGGTTTATACATTCAATCGAACTGATGCAATCGGTTAATTGGTTGGCTGGTTAGCTGGTGGATAGTTAATTGTGGTTTGGTTTTTTGGTATTTTTTATGCCCTCAAAATAAAAAAAGGAGGAATTGGAGACGGGGAGAGCGGGTGTTTGAGAGAGTTGGAGAAACACAGAGAGCTCAGAGACGAGAGAGAGTTCAAAGATTGGGTAAGAACGAAGAAAATTGATTTCTGGGAGCGTGAAAGGCTGTCGCCCTTTGGTCCGTTGATTTTTGGGAGTGCCGAAGGATTGCAGTTCATTTTGGGAGCAATGAAGGCCATCGTCCGTTGGTTTCTTGGGGAAGAACGAAGAAGAAAACTTGTGTGGGAGTCTGAGATAGAGAATTCGAGAGAGAGAGAGAGGGAAAAGCAATGGTTTTACTTTTAGGCTGAAAAGTCTGGCTGCGCAGACTGGCGAACACTCTAGAGCCTAGACTGCCGAACTGAAATGTTTGAGTTCAGCATTTATTAGATTTTCAAGAAACAATAAAAAATAATATATAATATTAATATAATATATAATATATAATATTGTGTATATATTGTTGGTTTGGTTAATTGCTGTTTTTTTTAAATGGTTAATTGAAACTTTTGGTTTTTTAAAAACATCAAATTGAAATCGAACCGATCGGTTTGGTTAATCGATTTTTTGGTTTGGTTTAGTTTTCTGGTTTTTTTTTGCTCACCCCTAGGTCTAGGGTCCTATTGTCATGGTGTGGGGCCTATATATTTTAGTGTTCAGCCAAACCTTGCTCGCCCGAATCTACTCATAAAAGCGCACCTCACACTGACCTCACTGTGTAATGGGAGCATCTCCGGTACTGTGGTTTCTGTCCTGGTTGGGGTGTCCATTTAGAGACTGGATCTGCTCCTCACACCTGGTGCCTCACAAGCGCCTCACACGCACATCTTATCATACATTAGGAATATCTCCTGTATTTTTTAGTTATTATTCACGGGAGATGTTCTCAATGCATAGTGGATGTGCCTATGAGGTGCCCATTTGTGAGGAGCAGATCCCGTCACATCCATTTAGATTTTGGATTTGATTGCACCTCACACCTATTTCACAAATTCAGTTTTGCTCCTCAGAGCGCAATTCACACGAACCTCAGTGCATTGGTAACATGTTACCTTTGCGCAGCTGCATATGAGAATTTACATTGCGCCTCACAGAATATGTCTCACATACCAATTGTGTATTGAAAACATTTCCCCCCAATGACAACTTTGAGAGATATTTTCAATACACGCTGAGATGTACATGTGATGCACCCATGGGGTACTCTCCTTGGGGTGCTGATGTGAATTCTGTATAATACTACATGTGCAAGGGAACACCTATCTTACCACACAGAGTACATATGCACAATTGATACACAGTCCCAACAAGTGCAGCAGAGTGGATTAGAAAAGCACAAGTTTGCCAACTCAGGTGTGGCTTAGTTGATATGTTAACTGGTACTGGGATCCATCATAAAAATGGGACCTGCCATGTAGGAGATGCACAGTGTGAGATCATGTTGATAAAGGGCTGGAAAGTATCTTATAGTAGGTGATGCGAACTCCAGCATAGCATAGACTCTAATTTGTTTTTCACAACCATCAACTTTTAGAGTTTACATTGATACCCCACAGGCACCCCACATGTACATCTCATCATCATGTACCAGGAATATCTTCCATTCCCGTCATTCGGAGAAAAATAAAAAAGAACAAGCTGACAAGCCTGATATTGAGTTTGACGTTTTCTATCCTAACTTAGAAAAAAATATGTAAAATTAAGATCCTTAAATCCTTTTAAACTTTTTTTGTAGATAAACCAAGGACTAGAGATTGAGAATGTTACCAATAAAGACGTGGAGCCCATTTGTGTCAATTGAAAAAAGCCGACTTGATAATGTTACGAGAAGACTGGGTTGAAGATCAAGTCAAAAAGTATGAACCTTTGGGTTGGGCTAAAATCTAAATTGGATTCAATTTCATATTTACATGTGTAAACAGTATATAAATATAAATTTATACATTGAAATATAAATAATTATATATATTATCTTTATTTTACCTTTTAAAAGGCATTTTGTTCTAAAATAGAATAGTTATGTTATTTTATACATAATAATGTTAATATTGAATAAGTGTAAACGCTTAAAATTTAAGAAACAGTACATTTGTCAAAAAGAAGTAAAAGGAATCGGCCAAAGGGTTGGGGCCAGGGAGTTAAGCAACTCAAGTTAAGTTAGGGTTGAGCTCAAGATAACTAAACCCAGTTCGACTTGAACCGCTGGTTATCTCTATTCCACAATCCCTCATTGAAGGAAGGAGTTTAGCTTCAGTCAGGGCAACTCCCATTTGAACAGCCTTTATAGCCTTACATTAGAAATATCAGCCTTGCATTGAAAATATCTGCATACTTGTGTAATTTACTTCATGAAGAGATATTCTTGATTCAATGATGCAAGAGACCGTTGGGACTGTGTGAGCACAGACTTGCCCTGACCGAAGCCGATCTCGGCAAGGTGGCGTTCGAACGGCTGGAGACTAAAAAGAATTCCACCACTAAAAAATCCCTTCGAGCCTTGAATTGCAATTTATCCTCCGCATGACATTATCTGCCTACGGAGGACAAGACAAGGGATTTGAGAAGTTCAACGAATCAGACAGAAACATAGTTGGTCATATAATTATGTATTTCAATCCTCTTAACCCAACGACAAAGTACTAATTTAAGGAAGATAGAAATAAAAAAAGAAGGGGAATGCATGGATAAGGTGAAATTTCATTGTATTTGGATATCAGGATATGTAAAGGAGGCCTACAAGAAGTTCAGACTTGGCTCTTCGACACCGAAAAAAAAAACTATTGAAATCTATAAATTTGGCACCAAATAACAGTTCCCCCCTCCTCACTGTAACTTCGTCTAATCACTCTCTGAAAGAGTTAGATCAGCACCATTTTTTACACACAAAAATTAAATCTACTCCCCCGTCAGAGAGCAGATTTAAAAACCAACACAAAGCTCTATTGGGTTCTTCTGAGTTAGGTTCACGCCTTCTTCGGTGACTTGGTCTTGGTCTCTCCTGCAGCACTTCCAGATTTTTCGGTCCTCTTGGGCAACAGAACTTGATGAATGTTGGGCAGGACACCACCATGAACAATCGTCACACCAGCCAATAATTTCCCAAGCTCCTCGTCGTTCCTTACTGCCAGCAGAACATGAGTTGGAATAATACGGGTCTTCTTGTTGTCCCGAGCTGCGTTTCCGGCGAGTTCAAGCGCCTAAAATAGGAAGAAGAAAGAAGAAAGGAAGAAAATATTAAAACCACACAAAATAAAATCCTACCCCACAATAGAATAAGAGAAGAAAACTCAAAACCACAAAGCGAAGTAACCCAACTCAGAGGGGAAAAAGATAAATACCTCAGCAGCCAAATACTCAAGAACGGCAGCCAAGTAAATAGGAGCACCATTGCCAAGCCTCTCAGCATATCTACCTTTCTTCAAAAACCTCGCTACCCTTCCTACGGGAAATTGAAGCCCAGCCCTCACGGACTTAGAAATTGGTTTTCGCTTCGCCGACCCTTTTCTCCCTCCGGCAGCTTTTACCGTCTTTCCAGGTTCCATTTCTTTCTCAGCAGTCTGCTCTATCAGACGAAATTATGAAACTACTTTGGCGGTACATTTGAATCTCAAGGCCCCCTTTTTATATAGAAAATAGTGATCCGTGTACTACTAGATCTCAACCGTTGATATGTGGAAGAATGTAATCAAAATTGAAAGAATTTTGATAAATAACACTTATTCCAGTTTGACCGCTTATTGCAGTTTGTTGGTCAGTTGATTGCAATCACCTCCTTAAATATTTGCAAGTAGATTTTTTTTGTTAAAATCCTTTAAAAAGAGGCACGAATGAATAAATCATTACCCCAAAATATTTATTTTTTCCAATTTTCTCATTGAATGAATCATTAGCCCAAACTTTTTCAATCTCTTTCCTAAAGTTGATTTACTTCCCAAATTGCCCTTCATATTGATGGCTCAAAGGTAAGATGAAACTTTAAATTCTCCTTTTTTTACTGTTATTGTTTTTCTGTAAAAACAAAAAGCAGTCTCATTAGTAATTTCATCAGTATTTTGGATATTTTTGTGAAATTAGGGTATTTTGGACATTTTTGTGTCTCTTATTAATAGATTCTAACAAAAGAGGTATACTTACAATTATATTTAAAAATTCAGGGGAGGTGAATGCAATTACCAAACTTCAGGGAAAGTTTCAGCAACAATCAGAATATTTGAGGAAAGTTTTAGCAATTTACCCTAAAAAACAATTTGAATTAGCTGAACATGATGGCTTTGTAGTTGGCCATGGCCATGAGCATGGAGCCAATGATAACATCGCACACCAGCCATAGATGTCAAGTGAGGGATGAGTGGTTGTGGGTAATATGAAGGAGGCCAAACTATTCCAACAAGTTTGAACATAATTTGTGTCCACACATCACATACATGATGGGTTTTAGTTTCACAATAAGATATGTGGACATGAGTTTGAATTACCTGCCAATAAAATGTGTTCCAACACAATATGACACTATGCATCTCATACATTACATGTCCCACTTTTATGGTGGATCCCAGTCTCATTATAAGATGTGCCGTGTGAGATTACATTGATAGGGGTTGGAAGGTGTTTWATTGGCAGGAGATCCCAATTATGTGGAAATAGATCATGATTGGAATGTGATATGGGACAGTTTTGTTGTTAATAGATCCAATTGTTGTATGAATATCCATGCTTATGGTAAATACTATGACCTCCCTCTTTTTTTTTTTTCTTTTAAATGGTAAATTGGAGACCATGTATTTTGGCTAGTTTCATTTCACTTTAGTGCCAGGGCTTTTAAATGTGTCACTCTAGTACATAAAGTCATGAACGTTTAGAAGAGTCCGTGTATGCTACCATGCTTGTATGACCATATAGCTGATCACCGCATGAGAAGATAACACCTGCCCATACACACGCAAAACAATTTTGATAGTGGTTTCAAAATTTTAAATTAACCATTGTTAGAGCACCTGGAAAGTTGATTCATTCATCGCCCTAGGCTAACCCACTATGTGGCTAATTGTGCAGAGTAACATATTATACCATTCCTTCCAAAATTATGTAATTTCTCATATAATTAATCAACTTCCTACTTGCTCAAAATTCCAAATAAATGACTATAATACTACTAAAAATAATAAATCAAAGTAGGAGCTAACACCCCCTAGCAGTATTCTATAAATTAGAATCACTACATTCCCATAATTTAAATACAAAAGTGGATCAACTAATTTGAGAAATAACCCATTGTTTTGATAATATAAATTAAAGGATTATATTTTGGGATTCAATGTACAAAATAATATGGTAGAAGGTTCCAATACAATATTGGCATCTTTAATATCAAATCATTATAAGCAAAATGATACTCAATAACGATTTTAATAAGTGTAAGGGAGTAAATAGACTTGATGTGCCATCTTTCAAGAAGCCCCACATGTTACAATGGTAGTTAAATTGTAAAAACTAACTTCTTCTCTTTAATCATTCACTTTAGTACTTAAAATATTGCTATCTCTTGAGTTTATAAGCCAAAATGCATCAATGCTTAAAGTGATTCAATTATTGTGGCTTTGTTTGTGAACAAAAAACCCCCCAAAGTCCAAGTTTTCCTGAAAAAAAGAAAGAAAGAAAGAAATGTGAGAATAAGCCAATAAAAACAATGAAGAAGACATAAATAAAACTTATCAAACAAGGATATTAACATAGTTGAAAATATACCCATGTAAATTTGTCACTCATAAAATCTATGATGCAGAAAAGATATGATATAGAAAGAGTTTTGACCAATCAAAATCCATCCATGAATTTTGATAAATAACACCTTATTTGCTCCCACGTTTGTGATTTCAGTTTATTGGTCAGTCATTTTTCCCATATCATATATTTTCCATATCATAGTCGAACCCCATTTTTTATCTTGTTCTTCTGAATTGTAATGGCACATGGGTATCTATTGGTATGGCTGTGTGGTTACATAGGTTTTGTCCCATTTGTTTAAGTCATGACTAGAGTGATAAAAAAAGCTTGATAAGTTTGGGCTCATTCAAACTTTTGAAGGAGAAAACTCCAAATAGTAGACAGGTGGTCCAAATGTTGGTGGTAAAAAAGCTTGAAAAGCAGTGAAAACAAAACATTCCAAAATGAAGAGTTAAGAGTAGTCGATGAAATCAATACGAAACCCCTAAGTGATATAAAATATTAACTTAAAAAATAGAACATTTTTTGAGAGCAGAAAATCTTTTTTATTAAAAGACTCACCTGTAGTAGCTTCAATGAGAGCAATACGATGGTAGTTGTGAATGTTGGGAATAATCGGATCACAAGTTGGGAAGATAAGGTTCAAAAAAATGATTAGGGTTTTAAATTTGTAAACGGAGAACATTGTTCAGAGGTAAAGAGAGAGAAGTTCAAAGACACAAAGAGAGAATGAGAGAGAAATGAGGAGATGGTGATTAAGATTTTATAGATGAACAGTATTTGGAGACAAAGATGGGGTTCAAGGAGAAAGAATAGATAAAACTTTTTTTTTTCTGAAATTGAGTTTGAAAATTTTTTGAGAACTAACGGTGGAGCTTATTAACACTGTTCTGTTAGTTCCCCACACATGCTAAAGTGTTTTGCGTGTATATGGACTGGTGTAATCTTCTCATGCGGTGGTTGGTTATGTGGACATACAAGCATGATCAATAGATCCGGACTCCTTTCAGAAATAACCATTTAGGTCTAATTTCATTAAGCTACTCTTATGGTTAGGGTGAGGGGTAAAATTATGAAAATGGCCATGTTCTATGTCCTAGTCCTCCTTTTTCATTGTTCATCTTCTTCTATTTTCAAACATTGGATGCAAACCAGCAACGGCATTATCATAATTTACTACTAACGTTCACTTGAATTGAGCCTTTGTCAACTCTGGTTTACATTCAAAGGTAGAATAAGATGAATAGCAAAAGGTAATCAAAATATGGACACTTTCATAATTTTACCACTCACTGTAATGATAACTTTAAGGAGTTGGGCTTTAATGTATATTTCAGAAAGTTCAATTACTAATTTAACTTTTTATGACTGGTACAGAATCTAAATCAAGTTTTCCCTTCATATAGTATGGATATCGATATACACATTAGTATAAGGGCATATGTTGTGTGTGCACAAGTAAATAAGAAAGAGTAAAAGCTTAAAAAAAGAAAAAGACATAGGATTTTGCTACTGCATCTATTTGAATGTCATTAACTTATTGATTGAACTTAAGAATTGAAATATTTGGACAATTGCTATCTGTAGGCATTAACTCTTGGGTAATACAAGTATACATCAGGCTTGAGTTACTAAGTTAGGGTTTAAAATATTCGACCCAAGTCGATCCAAATTGCATTCCTATGTTGATATGGTGCTAGTATTAACTATGATTATAGTTTTAATGGATGCATCTAAACAATAAGATTTGTTCCGCCTTATTTCTGGTTTTGTGACTTGGTTCTCCCTGAGTCCCGACATTTGGTTCAAAGTTTGGTTCCACTGGTTCTATTTCTTTATTTTGTGTTTCAATTATATCAAATTAGGACCAATTTTAATTATCCTGAACAGATTTAGGTGGTGTTCAATAAATCTGAAATCCTAAAGTCTAAAAAGCAACAAAAAAAAAACCTCCGAAAAGGCTCTAATGACGTGTGATTTGAACGCTTCCTATTGAAGGACAGTTCGAACATTGGGAGTGATGTTGCCTGGTCGAGCTGCAAAATAAAGTAGTCAGAGTGTTCCGAGGTGCTTTACCCGGTGTGGGTACTCCAATGCTTAAGTTAGCGATGGAGATTTGAGAGAGTTGTGAGCTTAATAACAATGGAATTTGAGAGCTAAATTGCACGTACCTTGTGAACCTGGAGGCAAGGCCTTTATATAGGCAAGCTGTCGTGGGCTTCACAATACATGTTCGAGATCATCGGCCCGCCTAGTCTGAAGTTGGTTTCGCACTCGAAGATGAAATTCGAGTAAGCTGATAAGGCTTATCCAGGTCTGTCCGATTTGGGTGGCGAGAAGAAAAAACCAATTGGGGTATACCGTGATATCGAGGAGATAGGAGACAACTAGCTACGTAGCACAACGACAGGTCAGTGGATGTAGCAAGTTGCTTGGGTCTTGTTCTAGCTGAGTGACCCGAGGTGGCTTGGATCGTTGAGGTGTCACCACATCATCTTATCGCTCCATGTATCGTCACATCATTAGACGAGCCAAATTATCCTTGATGAGGTTCTAAAAGCAATCGGCAAAAAATTGCTTTTATGCTTTTATAGATAATTGAATATAGTGAAGTTGTTCAACAATCTAAATGCTCTCACATCTGAAAAATGTACATTTTACAAACTTACCCCTATTTGTATATCTTAAAATGACCTATTTTCAACTCACTTAATATCAATAATTGATTACCTTATTTGCCCTCATTTTTTATCAATAAGTTTAAATATAGAGGGTAAATTTTGTGCTTAGAAAATTTCAGAAATATTTTTGATACCCTTTGTGCTTTTTTAAGTAGTATAGATTATTGCTTGCCTAGTAATTGCCTATCATTAGTCATTTGAATTTTTAACTATTAAATACATAGGCAAGTTCTAAAATTTCACTCATGGATTTGCTTTGAAATCCAATGCCCACTTGAAAGATCCCAAAGCTTCTTTATAAATTTGCATCATTTAAAAAATGATTTTTTTTAAATAACTTTTAATTGGGTAAATTACAAAGACCCCTACTATAGGGTTAGTGACAAATACCTCCTATTACTTCCACAATAAAGAATCCCTCCATTAACAAGATTATTATTTATCTGTTTAAAGTTCTTTTTTTGTTAAATTTCAAATTTGCCCTTTTATTTTTAGGTGAAACCATGGCAATACATTTAAAATAATTGGTGTGGCATATTTGTCCACAGCTTATTTTTCTTTGGAGATGGTGATAAAAATATGTTTTTTTTTTTACCAAGGCGATTGACTTTTTAATAACATTAGATATTTTATTGTATTTGTAGAATAAGATTTAGTCGAACGCTTTAGCTGTTCAATGGGCTATTAAACCAATGATGAAGTTCTATGCCAGTATTAAATATATGGGGCGGGTCCGTATCTGTTACAATAGGGCCCATGAATTTGTTACTAATATAGAAACTTATCATTGGTTCTACAGCCTGCCGAACGGCTAAAGCATTTAACTAATCCGAATTCATATTTGTATCCAAAGTGAAATGTTAACTAAAACAAAGGTTTTTAAAACCGGACCGAACAGTGAACAGTTCTAAGGAATGGTTTTAGCTAGTTTGAATAGACACTTCGTTCTAACTTACAAAATAAAAAAATAAAAAAAAAAGGAAAAAAAAATCATTGTTTAAATCAACGATTCAATTGCTCGGGTCAATAAATCACCGAACAGTGAAAGGGAACCGATTACCTAACCGGCTGCCAAAGGGAACCGATTACCTAACCGGCTGCCAAGTAGTTTTTCGGTCCTGTACGGTTTTAAAAACCATGACTACAACTTTTGAGAGCAATGTAAATTTTTTGTCAAATGTTTATTTGATATCATGTTTGTGTAGGTTAGAGAAAAGGGGGAATGAATGGCTTGGCCCATTTTCATCATTTTAAAAACTTCATTACTGGAAGAGGGCATTTTGATTATTTAGTGACTTCCGTCAGCAGAATTAACGGTCAAGGGATATTTATTGCAACTTAAAAGTTCAGCGAGTCTTTATCGCAAATTAAAGCGAGGGGTATTTGTGACGGATACAGGGCGAATTTGTAATTTGCCATTTTTCCTTTTTACCCCTTCCAAATCGTATCAAATGTTGCTCCCAGCCAACAAAATTGTACGGAAAGAGCACGTGGCGACATATAATTGGATAAGTTCACGTGGCTTGTAATATCATTGGTCGAAACAACTCGAAACCCGTCTTTTTATTGTAGCAAGGTAGGCCCTTTCCCTCGGCTATTGACTCTTGTTACTAGATCAGATCCATCATCCACGATCCGTTGCGCTATCGAAACTCGCAAGAGGGCGACTCCTTTACAATTACAACATCGCAGCTCTGACGTCGATTTCTGACTCAAGGTAACATACCGTTCAAGTCATTCCCCTAGCCATCGGATCTCCTTTTTGTATCTGCTCTCAGTCTGTCTAGAATTTTCCTCGTCCGAGATCTATTTCTTCGGTAGCTCACGGTTACAGATCGGGAAGCCTTTTTAGTCTAGCCTTCTAGGATTTTGGGAACTTGGGAGACTTGATAGATAGGGCTTGAGCTAGTTAAGTTCTTCTTCTTCTTCTTCTTCTTCTTCTTATTATTATTATTATCATTTCTTTAATCATCGGCTGGTGCTCTCTTATAGGGTTATGAAATCGTTCTGATGGAAACTACACAAATCTCTCTGCAATTTATCTTCCTATTGATCGCATGCACCACTGTCCGCCTCGGCGCGTCCGATGCGGTAAGGGAAAAAATATATCTGATAGAATCTTGGTTTTCCTTTTGCCCTCGTTGGAGAACTTTGTGGTGTCTAATTATGAATATATGTTGTTTCCTCAGCTGTTTTATGAGTCGTTCGACGAATCATTCGAGGGACGATGGGTCGTTTCAGAGAAGGGGGACTACAATGGTATTATTTCCAGTTGCTAATCTAGTACTCTCGTCCGTTGTTTTTTTTGTCATTTGTTTTTCTTACCGAAGAATTTGCAAGCTGATACCTTTGTCATGTTTTATTATTGCCAAGGACATATAATTAATTATTAACTATATATGACTGAATTTATAAAGTTGCAAGTTTATCAAGTTCTAAGCGTGGATCGGAGCAAAGGAGTACCACGAATTAATATTTGTTCATCTTGCTCTCCCTTTGCGTTATGTTCCTTTCTTCTTTAATAATAATAATTTCCCTCTTAAACATTGTATTGTCTAAACCCAGTTAGATTTCTCTGTGACATTATTAGTAATTGTAAATTTTAAGTGGTAATCTCGATTTAAATTAATAGAAGAAATACCATTCATTAATTTCCATGCTTCTCCAATGGTTTGGGTAATCAATAAATCCTGTCCGTTTTCTGTGGCTTTCCAGAACCATTGATTGCAATCAAGTGTCTCTGGCTTGCCATTTTTACTTGTTTATTATGTGTAAGAAAGAACTTAAGAGGAAATGTGTAGGGATGACAAACGAGTGGGTTGTGTGCGGGTTGAGTACCAACCCACCCATATGACTCGCTAAAATTCAAAAAACTAAAAGGCGAGCAATTGCAGAAAAACAATGAAATGATAAAAGTTTCAAAAAATTATATATATTTCAAACCAAAATGGAAATTGTAGAAAACACAAAAAACGATACAATTTTTTTAAAGAAAATTATATATTATAGCCAAAATGATAAATTAAAAAAATACTAAATAGAAGAAATTACGAAAAGTGATATTCATTTTCCTTTTTTTTTGGGAAAAAATCAATCTCAGTTTCAGATCCTTAAACTGATTTTGAGTTTCAGGAACCAAAAGGAAAAAAATAAAAAATAAAACTCGAACACTCTGATTCTATGTTTCAGTTATGCGTTTCTGAAAAATGTTGAAAAGCAAAGTCCTTGCAATATAATGGCGGTTTCTAAAGGCTATAATTTGAACTAAGACCACCAAAAATTCTGTTGGGTCACAGAAAAACGATCCAGATGTACGGATATTCAGGTTCATTTGTAAAAAGTACAGAAAGACAAAAAATTAAAATTTTATTTCCGTGAGTTGTAAAGTAAGAAAGTCAGGTGATTCAGATTAAATTCTGAGAGTGGAATAGAGAATCTGATTTGAAGGAAAACATTGTATGGCATCAGAGAAAAATCTGTCAAGAAAAATGAAAAACTTGATATGGTGCTAAAATAATTGAAAGGTAAAGAGGTGATTAGATAGAACAGATCTAAGGGAGATGCAGAGAAGTGGATTGTATAGTTCTAGTTGATGTTGTGTGGAGTGTGTTCTAGCTCCGGTTTACAGGGAGGTGAGATGAGGTTGGGTTGTAGTGGGAGAAAGAAAGCCCTCCCACCTCTCTCTCTGTTTCTCTCAACTTTCCCTCTATCTCTGTGCATGTGTCTCCTGTTCGAATTTTGAAGACCACTCTTTTTCCATTTCTCTTAACTCTCTCTACCTCTGCATCTGCGTCTCCTGTTCAAACTTTGAAGACATCTCTCTGTTGATTTCTCTCAACTTTCTCTTTCTCCACCTCTGTGTCTCCCGTTTTTACTTGGAAGAGCAGGAAAGGAACCCTTTTCCCAATTTCCCCTCAACCTTAACAAATTGACCCTATGAGTACCATTGAACCAACCCACCCTGACCCTTGCCTTTTGACCCTAATGGGTATATCTACCCGCTGATGGAATGGGTGTGTCAAATGGGTTGGGGTCAAAATTGCCAGCCCTAGAAACTTGCATTACTACTCAGATATTTGATGTTATTGTCCCATTGATCCATCATAGTGGTTAGGACGTTTTCTCCAATTCTTAAGTAATAACATTTTGTTTGACCACTCAACATATGCTGATGGAATTATGCATCTTTCATTCTTGAATCACATGTGTACATGTCTGCATTCTTGACGACATTGGCTTGCTTCTTTCATTGAAAAAGATACCACCTATAGGAATGGAAATTACATTGATTTTGTAGCATGCTTGTGTTCCTTACAATTTGACTTGATTGCATTGTTATCCTTTCTGTGGGTCATGGTTATATGAAGACAAAACATATGGTGCTCTATGGCAATTGCTACAACATAACTCAAATCTGAATGCACCAATGATAAAGCAACACCTCATAGTGACATATTTAATGTTGTTAAAATCTTTAATGGTAAGTACACCTTGTGGAACGTGAAATTACGCCTTTTGTAATATGAATCGATGAAAAGTAAAGACCATGTGATGTCTTTAATGTGACTAGTTGTAACATGCATCAAATAATTGAAATGCACTGTAATTGGACTCTTAGATTTATTTATTTGCCTTCATCAATTCATTTATTCATTTACCAGACCAGCATGGATTTCCGTTGAGGTGTTGCACTAGTACTTGCTCCACCTATAATAATCCGAGTTGATGTGGATATTTCCATGATTGCATTCTTTGTTTTTCTCATTACATAATTTTTGTTCATTTCATTCCTTCAATGATGCAAGGTGTATGTATGACCCTTGGGTAGGGCTGCAAAGGGATTGAACTGAACTGGATATGGGTAAATCCTAATTTGATTCATTTATATTTGGATTCAAATTGAATCTTATCTACCAGATTTATATTGGTTTTGAGTTGAATTTGGATTGCAATTGGATATTGAATAATGGTGTATCCATATCTGATTCGATCTAATTATAAACAGATCAAATTCTGTTCACCGTTAATTGGATCAAAGATGAATTTGAGCTCAGAGAAATGAATACCTTTTGCTGCCCTGCCCTTAGGCCAAATAGAGAATAAATGATGCATTAGTGGATAGGTGCATTGCTTTTATGAGGGCATTTGTTTACTAGGCTGATTTGCTATAAAAGATGAAACATGTTTACCTGGTCTTTTTTCCCGGTTTCTTTCTTATTCATGGATTCTATCCACAAACACGGGCCCCTATCTTTTGTCAATGGTTCTCCAATTGCACTTTGTAATGAGCTCTGTGTATTTGGTACCAGGTGTATGGAAGCATGCAAAGAGTGACGGTTATGACGATTATGGGCTTCTTGTGAGTGAGAAAGCAAGGAAATATGCCATAGTGAATGAGCTTGACAAACCTGTGGACCTCAAAGATGGTACAGTTGTCCTACAATTCGAGGTTCGTCTTCAGAATGGGCTAGAATGTGGAGGAGCATACCTGAAATATCTGCGACCTCAGGAGGCTGGTTGGAAACCCAAGGAGTTTGACAACGAGTCTCCTTACTCCATCATGTTTGGACCTGACAAGTGTGGATCCACAGATAAGGTGCATTTCATTCTTAAGCACAAGAACCCCAAGAGTGGCAACTTCATTGAACACCACCTCAAGTACCCTCCATCTGTTCCCTCTGATAAACTATCCCACGTTTACACTGCCATTCTGAAACCTGATAATGAATTGAGAATTTTGATTGATGGGGAAGAGAAGAAGAAGGCAAATTTCTTGTCAGCTGAAGATTTTGAACCAGCACTTATCCCTCCCAAAACCATTCCWGACCCAGATGATAAGAAGCCAGAGGACTGGGATGAGAGAGCAAAAATTCCCGACCCAGATGCAGTTAAGCCAGATGACTGGGATGAGGATGCTCCCATGGAAATCGTAGATGAGGAAGCTGTGAAGCCAGAAGGGTGGTTGGATGATGAACCTGAGGAAATCGACGATCCTGATGCATCGAAGCCAGAAGATTGGGATGACGAGGAGGATGGTGAATGGGAGGCACCAAAGATTGAGAACCCCAAATGTTCTTTAGCACCTGGTTGTGGTGAATGGAAGAAACCTATGAAGAGAAACCCTGCTTACAAGGGAAAATGGCACGCCCCTCTCATTGACAACCCAAACTACAAGGGTATTTGGAAGCCCCGGGAGATCCCGAACCCAGATTATTTTGAGCTTGAAAAGCCCGATTTTGAGCCCGTAGCGGCCATTGGCATTGAGATTTGGACAATGCAGGATGGTATCTTGTTTGACAACATCTTGATAGCAAGTGATGAGAAGGTTGCAGAATCATACAGGGAGACTGCATGGAAGCCAAAATATGAGGTTGAGAAAGAGAAGCAGAAGGCTGAGGAAGCGACGCCAGGTCTTTCAGATGGGCTTTCAGGCATTAAGGTGATGTTCTGGTCTTCCTTTCTTTTCATCTTGCTGAGATTATTTATTTTATTTGTTGATAGATTCTAATGAATTTTAGAACTATCGGATTCAATCGTGCAGAAGAAGGTATTTGACCTCCTGTACAAGGTGGCAGATATTCCTTTCTTAGATGGATACAAGCTGAAAATCTTGGTGAGTCATGAAGCTGAGGCCGCAGTCTTTTCTTACCATTGAATATTTATTCTGTGCAGCTTCATAAATTTCATTATTGAACATTGATTAAAATCTTGTTGGAAGTTTATTAGTTATTGTATGTCTCTTGCAGGATCTAATTGAGAAGGCAGAGACACAACCGAACCTCACCATAGGCATTCTTGTCTCCATTGTGATAGTTATCTTGACAGTCTTCTTTAGGATTCTCTTTGGTGGGAAGAAAGCATCTGTGAGTTTTCATTTGGCGATGCCCTTTGCCCTTTATCTCTTGAACTTACGTCCATCGATAGCTTTGGTTCTGAGGTTGTTTGTGTTTCTATGCACGCAGGCTAAGGTCACCAAGGAGACAAGTAGTACTGTAGCTGCAGAGGCTACCAATAATCAGGAAAGCAGTGGAGAGAAGGAAGGAGAGAACGAAAAGGAAGATGCTGTTCCTCGTCGGAGGTCTACCAGACGGGATAATTAGAGAATTGACCATTAGTTTTTAGTTGGAAAATTTTGAGCAGAGTGGTAACCGTGGCTAAATTCTCTTGGTTAAAGGCCAGTTGTTACTAAATTTTTGTGCTTTGTGTTGTGTAGTGTAAATGAGAATATCTGTGGTTCGGATCATCAATTCCATCCCCATCTTTGGGTTAAGAAGTCACTTTCGTAAAATTCCCGTACATTGATAAATTGTTATTGCTATCCAAGCCAAGGTTTTCTCGGTCATAATTCTTTTTCATGTGGTGACATAATGTATTGCTATCCCGTGGATGTCATTTCTTGTTGTTTAAAATGGGATTTTTACTTGTGTATTTTTGGCTTCATGGGCCTACACAACAGGGGTAGCCCATCCCCCTGGTCCTGGTGGCAGCGGGAGTTGATGCTAGGTCTGCTACAAGCCTACTACAACTGAGCCACCATTAGATGCAGTTGATCTTTCATTTTCTTTTGTTTCATTGTCCAACTTTCGAACCGTGAACTTTAGACTCTCGGAACATGGGTATTGGCCTATTGGGTATTCACCCACTATTAAGGCTTCGATCCACACTAATTATTAAAGCTCAATGACGATCAAGTTTCAAAGTGTTGGCTTTACCTTGTACGATTACCAAAAGAAACTTGAGGAAATGAAATGGATGTGGCTAAGAAACTTACAAATTTTAGAAATTCTAAAGTTTATACGTTGTAAATACATATATACTTTATTCTATTGCAAATTTGCAATTAACAAGTAATTTATTATTGTGAAATGTACATGAACCCATTATAACTTGTATAAAATGCTTATACCCGTGAATGCGAAATCCATTTGAATTGGTTTTTATAAATTAATAGTAATACACCCAAACTTAAATAAGATATTATATTATACAACATCGTGGTGTAAAAGGCAATGTAAGTTCCGAGATGTCACTTGTCATTGGGCCCTGTAAATTTGACAATGTTAGTGAACCGTTGATGAATCCACGGTCAGTATTCATCCTCCTTCCATATAGGGGGATGAATCATGATGCAGTGTATTTCTCCTCAAATGTAATTGACCTGATTAATGACTACAATGACTATGTGCAAAGCTGAACCACACCACCTCACCACCCTTTTCTTCTTTTGGGTTTATCCACCTCACCAACTAGCGGTATGTTCCCAATTGGGCCCAACCAGTCCAAGTCCAATCTAGGCATTATTTTATTTGTGCTCCTTCCTTGTTACACACCTGCACAAAATCATGGTTTTTAAAACCAGACCGGACCGGAAAAACCGGTGACCAGTTCTGTTTTCCCCCAAATCTGCTGTTTCTTAAAACCGTTAATTTTGGTCAGCAAACCGCTGAATCGGCTGGTTAATCGTTCGAATGGTTTTGACCGTTTTTCAATTTTTTTTATCAAAACGGGCCAACTGTTCGGTCGAACGGTCGGACCATTTGAACCAGTAACCGAACCCCTGACCGGTTCAGTCACTGGTTCGTTTTTAAAAAGCATGCACAAAATGATTCTTTGTGCTCTGTTACAACCTCGCTGTTAAGGGCCTAGGGGTGCAAGTTGGACTGGGTTAGGTCGGCTTGATGTCAACCCTTACCCAATCCAAATTGTTGAACTTCCATCCTTAACCCTATCCCAACCCTAAAACTATGAGTTTCAGGTCAGGTTTGGGTTGGCCAGACCATGCATCATATGAATGACTTCAAGAATAGAATTCACCTAACGCATAGACGAGCAAGCGCCCAAAGATGGGATATCATTGACAAACAAGAGGTGGTTAAGTTTAGGACCACCCCTTAAAAGTCTACAAGTCAAATTTGTGATGCAACTTCTCTCGAAAAAAAAAAAGTTTGTGATGCAACGACCGCTAGGTGCATATAATAAAGAGAAAAGGTGAGAGGGGGCACCCCCCTTCCCAAACGTTTAATGCTAGGATATTGAAATTTGCAACCATGGGTATTATTTGTGTAAAGCAGTGAAAACACTAACAAAAGGGTAGGTTAAAGACTCATTTGGAGAGGAGGTTTGAATAGGTGGCAAATTTGAATGCTCCCTTACAATGTGGCAAATTGGCCCGCCTATGGCCTACATCATACTTCCACACAGAAAAACTATAATAGGTTGTGCGCGAAAACAGCCTAGATCGAACTAGGAATGGCAACGGGATAAGGTGGGGCTGGGTTTTGCCTTCCCTGTACCCAATCTTGAACCCAAATTTCCCTCCCTGTTTCCGCCTCGAACCTCAGTGGGGCTAAAAGTCCTAACTCGATCCTCATTCCCCATAGTATATATAATATTGTAATGCAATATAATATATATATAGTCAGGGCAGGACTGATAAATACCATCCCCGACGCTAGAATTTTGGGTTTTTCCCAAATCTGCCCCGAACCCCGATTAATGGTCAAAAAACCCATCCCAGTCCGTACAGGGTGAGGCAGGGCCCTTRAAAACGGATGAAATTGCCATCTCTAAATCCAACCAGCGAGCCTCTTTTCTATAGTTTGAATCAAGTAGGGGGGTTCCCTACATGAATTCACCTCTTTCTACCATATGGAGGGATATAGTGGCCAGTCCAATTCAAGACCATTCATCAGGTAGGGAACCCACTGGATTGGCCACAGACTTAATACGATTGTCTGTCAGCCATATAACCCACCTTGTATTGTTGGAAGGGTTGGGGGGGGGGTGGTATTATATATAAATAGTTGACTGGAAGATTCCTGTTTGTGGGTGTATTGGATACAAATCCATCTCATAGCAGACATGTAGGAACCCCAAGTGTTGAACTTGAAAGGCATCTTTTATATATTAGTTAAAAAGGAAAAAAAGGAAACTCGTATGATTGCTGTAAAAGTAGGCTAAACTCCAATAAATGGCCGGTCGAGAAGGTTTCTTTGTTCAGTTTGTTAGGAAAAAAGATTACTCTGTCTATATGGTTTATTTTTCCAACGAGCGAAGAACAGATTTGTGTTATTAATTAATTGTGGACACCACAATCAGATATTAAAATTATCCATGATCCGTCTAAGCAAACAACAAACAAACTAGTCCTGTGTAAAAGTAAAACTATATAAACCATCACTCAAGTATGGATATGCTTAGTACAGTTTATGATCTTCCTTCCCGCATCACTTCCTGAAAACGTCATTGTTAAATTGAAATTGATGCCCGAAGAGAAAATAAAGGTTGAATGTTGCCTTCTCTCCATTGTGTTTTCAGGGAAAGAAGATCCAGTGCTATTGCGTCAAGGCTCAAGATGGAAGATAGAAATCTTTCACGGTCGCATCCACCAGCCTTGAATAGAAGTTAATTATAGACATCCCTGTGTACACTGATCGATCAAGTGCTTCAGCAGCTCCAAAATTACATCCATTTTGTTGTATATCTTCTACTTCCAAATCTGGTAGCGTTTCCCCACTATTCGATTCACACCCAGGACCTTTTAGTGATGGCATTATGGTTAGAGAATATCAATCTATTCAAGGACTTTATCTAATAGTTTAAGCCTTTAGGTTGAATGGTTCTTTGAGATAGTATTAGTTTGATCTTCATTACCCCCATTATAATTAATTAAGTTTCAGCACAAGGTATGAGTGGATTTATGCTTATTCACATTTCAAACCCAATGAGCCCTGGGGATGTTAGAGAATATCAACTTATTCAAATACCTTATCTAATAGCTTAAGCCTTTAGGTTGAATGGTTTTTTGAGACTCCATCTCCCCAAACCCATATGAAATTGGATTCTCGGAATCTAAATTCTACTCTAGGGCGAATTGGGTCCAGAAGGACCAAAACCTACTTCCAATTTTCTATACATTAATTTCTATTAAATATAAATGATAAACACACAAAATATGAAAATAACATATGAAGCAACATCAAAATTTCTAACTATTTGATTGAATGAAGTATAGAGGAAACATATAAGTTATCAATTTGGGTTTGAGCCATAACTGTATCCTACCTTTAGCCTACATATTATAAATTATACAAAAAATTCCAGAACCCTTCCACACCCTCAAAATTAACAGGCTCCGTTGAAACGGATAACCAAAAGGTAGAGTGGAGATTGCCAATCTCTATGCCTCCACTCGTATATCAAAACATTTGCCATTCTCCGCTGATTTCCATTGAGAAAGGCTACTACGTTCACTGGACTTAAATCACCACTCTTTTGGAATCTTTTCCAACAGTGTAAAGGCGCAATGCTTTTAATTTTGCGCACTGTGGGGGTATTGGATTGGGTTCACCTTCTCCACCGTGTCGGGACGTCTAAACTAAAACAAATAGTATGTAAGGGTGATCATTGTTACAATCTTACCCCCCAATAATTTTCAAATCTCCGTGGCAATGCAATGGCCAATGAGATTCAAGATCAAGGAAAATGGATGGTGGGGACAAAGGGGAATGGGGGAGTAGAGAGTGTAGTGTAGTTCCCGGCATGCTCGGCGTATGTTAGCTTTCTTCCGAACAGTCTTTTGCGATTTGAAAGGTTGACGTCGTTTTGATCACTAATTTGTCCTTTTTCTTTTCGGGACATGAGACCGGAATGCCAGCTCTTACCGGTTTGTGTCGAAGACTGAGTCCTGACAATAACCAAACAGAGCCCACCAGCTTTGACTAGGGTCAACACTGTGCCTGTGTGTGTGTGAGACCGTCAGCCGAGCCCGAAGCCGCAGCCGCTACGTACTGGCAACAAGGCACAACCAAAAACATCTCTCTCTCTCTCTCTGCGACTCGGCTCAACTCTAAGTTTTTACTTTTAACAGCCAAATCCCAAAAACAACCCCCCCGTTTCAATTCGTAGTTCTTGATCAGACACCACACCGCCAAACCAATTGATCACAACTTTCTTGCTGGATCACATCATCATTAATTCTTCCTACGAATCGTTCTAATTCAAAATCGAGATGAAATCTAAATGTGTTCGAACGACTTGTAGTTTTACGGAGAAAGAGAGAGAGAGAGAGAGTCATAGAGCTTGTATATGTGAAATGAATCTATTGATGATCAGTATTCAAGAGAATCTGAATTATATGTATCTGTATCAAATAAATTAGAACAATTTTTTACAAAAATGTAAAAAGATTCAAATTAAGAATGCTCCACAATTTTCACAAGCTTTTCTTTCCCTTGATTTTAAACCTTGTTTTTGGTTTTGAAGGAGGTTTTGTGGAAGTAACGTGAAGGTGTTCTGGTCTCTGAATCTGATGGGTCCCTTTCGACTGATGGGCTGTCTTCCTTCTCTTCATGCTGAAGGACGAAAGCTTCCTCCTTTCGGACTCTCGTATCGGCTCAAGCTTTGGTTTCCATTGCCGAGATCGAGACCCAACAAGCTGCGTATAATCCTTCTGCAACTGAGGCGTTGTGCAGACTCTATTTTTGGATTTGCTGTGATTGTCATCCTCTCCTTGATCGTCTTTTATCTTCCCCTCTATCATCAATTTCGAAATGAACTCATCCGATACTCGAATCTGAAGGGATCCGGATGGAGTTTTTTGAAAATCGAAAGGTTGACAATTTGCAGCCTTCTTGACAAACTCGTGCTTAGAGATATTACTCGATGAAGAGGATTGAGACGGGAAGGAAGCGAAAGAAGCAATGGTGACGAAGGATAGGACGGACTGAAAGAAATGCTTTGGAAGGAGAAAGTACTTGTGGCCAAGCTTGAGCTCGTCGTTCTCGGAGAGAGCCGGAATCTTCTGACCTATGTAGAAGGAATCGGAGTGGCAGACGAGATGTTTTGGGAACTCAAGCATGAGCTCGGAAACGTTGATGGGTCGGTGGTAGATCTTGACAAGGCCGTCTGATTTGATGAGTTTGATGGTCTCGACCGGTGTTTCAGACGGGAGCTGCACGCAGGAGACGTAATTCCCCATCAAATGAAAGCACCACGGGATCATATGGAAGTTGAACAACTTAATGCCCATGATCTCATAAGCCTCGAAGGCCAGAAGCCTGGAGGAGGAGGAGGAGAAAAGAAGAAAGTAGAACCGTAGAAGCCCAAACCAAGACCAACAAAGGAAGTGTCTTTCTCCTCTGGGGGTTGGGGTTGAAGAAGAAAAAGCAGAGGGATGGAGTCTAGTATTTGGGGCCGGGGTAATGTTTTTGATCAAGGCCGCGGTATTGGTATGTATATATATGAGAGTGCGCGTTTGTGCATATACACGTGTGGTTTGAGAGAGAGAGAGAGAGAGAAAGAAGAAGAAAAATCGAGATGGGTCAACAAAGAAGCCAGATGGGATCAGAAAAAGCAAAAGGAAGAGAGGCAGCAGCAGCAGGGCCAGGCCAGATGGGAAACAGCGAGGTCAGAATTGTGGTCGTCGCCTCGTCGGTGGTACCCCCTTTTCTTTTTTCTTTTTTCTCCTTTAAATTTTACCGCGCTTAGGCCTTAGGGTTCGTGTTATGGTATGGATGATTGAATTGAATCACATGTTGATGAACACTACAGTCTACAGAGATGAGAGACCAGACAGATGAATAGGAATATATAGGAAGAGGAGAGAGAGAGGTAGTCTACTACGACTACTACTAGTCCATCCCATCTTCCGCAACCCGTACAACGTAAAAAAAGGGTGAAAAGGGCACAAACCTCAGATTCAAAATCCGGCCAGGTCCAGGTGAAGAAGGTTAGCCAGCCAGTTTGGCACCTTCATTACCCCCCCCCCCCTTGATTTTTTTACTTCCGGTATTCATACATACATCATTAAAATTAAAAACTACACGTGAATTCTGAACACATTCAATTTAAAGAATAATATATCTCCAACTATTTATATACCCCGAAAGGCATGATACCTAAAAACTGATATCTGTATTTCTTTTCGGTACTGAAATCAAGTAACTTACTAACTTCATTCGAAAAAGAATCCCTGGCTAAAATGTTACAAAGCTAGATTGGACTGAAAGTTAATTAGGATCTGCGAAAGCTAAACAGCCAATAAAAGGAGATATCATACTAAAAATAGTGGTAAACCGGTAACCAATCAACCAGCATTCATCAAAATTCACGGGAGTTCTGAATTCTGATTGGTCAAAGCTTGCTTTGTTATAAATCTTTCCTGAAGTAAAAACGTCTTCTTTATTTTTTAAAAATTCAACAAATGCCTCCTTTCCCTTAAAAATTAAGGCGAAAAACGTTAAAGAGATAATCATTTTTTTAAATATCTATTTTATCCTTTTACAAATTAATGTGCATACGTTTTTACTAAAATATCTCTGTCTCACCAACTGCTCGAATACTGTTCATCTTCTTCCTAGAGCGATGGATGTACGACATTGCTAGGTACTAGAGCGACCGAGGCAGAGACGGAGATGAGAGAATGTCGGAGAGGTCGTTGTGCTTGAGGTCAAGGCAGGTTAGGGCTTGTGATAAGAATGGAGGGACTGAACTAGACAGATGGTTGTGGTAGAGAATAACATTGGATAACGACGGGAGAGTTTCGATTGTTTGGGGAATCTGGCCTCTCAGTTGATTGTAGCTGAGATTGAGCATTTGAAGGCTCCGAAGCTCCGCAAGATTTGCCGGAATCTCCTCGGATATGAAGTTACGGCTAATGGCAAGAAATCAGAGGTTTTCAACTGTGATAGTGTTTGAGGGCAAGTACCAATAATTCTACCGAAACAATGGAGAGCTCGGCTAACGCTGAAAGTTTACCAATTGTAGGATCGAGACGACCGGTTAGGCCAGGAGAACAAGCACTAGGATCACCTAGGTTCAAAGCAATGACCTTGTTGGCTTCACAGTACACACCGGCGAAGTTGCACGAGTCAGAGGTGAAGTCCTAGGAGGAGAAGAAATTCGAGCCTGGCATGTCGTTYAGGGCTTTCTAAATCGACTGCAGGGCCAATAAATTGATAGAGAGCAGAGACTGCAGGTCCGCCGAAACTCTTCATCATCTCCATCTATTAAAAGAAACAGAGAGAGAAGAGATAAGAGAAACCCAGGGAGGCAGGTAACTTTGGTTTGTCGACAAGGGTCTGTAAGGGTTTTAAAGAGGAAGGGATGATCTTTTCTACTACTTTTCCATAAGAAGAACCTACAGATTTCTCGCGAGAGTCTCTGTGGAGGCTTAAATGGAAAAGCAGTTGAAGAAAATGATAATTCGTAAAAGGATAAAATAGGTATTTTAAAAAATGATAATCTCTTTAACGTTTTTCGTCTCGGTCATTAACGGAAGGAAAATATTTATTGAATTTTTAAAAAATAAAGGAGGTTTTTGCTAAAATGAAACTATAAGAGAGATTTTTATAATTGTTAAAAACTTCAGGAGGATTTTGTATTTTACCCTAAATAAAAAGAGGTAGACAATAGCGTGTGATTTCTTTCTCTATAAAGAAGTTCAACTTAAGATCATTACGGTTTCTTTTCTTTTCTTATTTTTTGTTTCCATTTATACCTCTTTTTCTACCATACGGCCAATCACTGTAATTTAGCTTTTAGTTCCTAAATCACATACCTCTTATATTTTTGAACACCAATTAAATTCTATTGTCTGATATTGATTTCTTTTTCAATTTTTTTTTTCTTGGTTAATTATATAGATATATTATAGATATAGATTCTTCTATAAAGATGAATTAACTTGGTATTTCAGCTTTTTTTTTAATGAAGAGAAGCGTGAGACCGGGTAAAGCTTTTCAGTATTCAGAACTGAGAAGCGTCCTCTTCGCTCTGGTGCTGCTGTAAAACACCTTTTGACGCATATATGTTTGACTGAAACTCTTGTTTAGTTGTTATTCTTTGTATCACTCGTACACACACACACAAACAGAAGGTAGGCAGTCCAAGGTAGTAGGTAGGTAGTGTTGGGAGACGGAGAGGGGGCAAGGGCAGCCCACAGCCGATGCTGAGGAGGTACTAGGCAGTCCACCTGACTCTGTAGTTTCTACGACGCCAACGGCCAACCAAATAAGGCCGAGAATCATTCAAAACAGATCCCGCCTTTTGCGAGGTTGAATCTTCTGCTGCTGCACCTGCACATCACCACATATCAAATGGGCAAATCAAAGTTTTATTTAAACTTTAACCCCTCCCTGCCCCCTCTTTTCCGGGACAAGCTCCATTAGCTTAATTAATATTATAAACAATAAGCCAATCCCCCNTTTTTTCCCTTTTTTTCTTATAGCCACAGACTGAGTGACAGAAGAATGTGCACACACGTTGCTGTAGGGCCCAGTAATTAAAGGACGGGCTTTAGCTACTAAGTTTGGATTAATATCAAACATATTTAGCAACTACTCGGGAGTCGGGACCTGTCCTTTCGTAATATAATCCAAGTTGTATAATATAATCCACCATATATTTCCGAGTTTCGATGCATGCATGTCACAAAATGAAGTGAAAAAAACAAAAAAAAAAATGAAAGAACATAAATGCAAAATAAAACAGACTTTCCACAGATAAAATATTGGAAAGCCATATGGATAACGGATCCAGTGAGTGGTTAATTAATAATTATACGGTTGGTCAGCTTAGCGGACAGACACCATCTTGATTCCCAATTTTGCTATGTTTGACGGAAACAATAATCTTAATTCTCCAAATCTATAGCACGTAAGTTTTTTCCCCAATACCATTGTTTCGCTTTCTTGTAATGAATAATAAGTATTTTCATAGTGGTTAAATATTACATAAAGGTATAAGTGCAATAAATATATATTCAAGTAAGTGTTTTGGTTCTGTGTGTGTTTATGGATAGGGTGTTTATTTGTATTTTTTTATTTTAAACGTTTATTTATACTTTTTTACTTTAAATGTTTTTTTTTTCTTTCTCCCTCTCTCTCTCTTATTTTAAGATTGTATTTGGATGTGATGTAAATCAAGAACCGATGTAAATTTTACATTGGTTCAATTTTATATGCGTTTTGAAAGAGGATGTAATTATTATCAACGTAAAACTATACTCCGGTTAAGTTTTGCGTATGTTTGGATGGAGTGTAGTTTTACGTCAATAATCAATGTAAACCTCATCAGCTCTAAGGTTTACATTGATAGTCGATGTAAAACTCTACACTCTTCCACCCATCACTATTTTAGAAAAAGCAATTGTCACTTTCTGGTTTAGTGTAAAACGTCATTAGTGTATTTTTACATCGATGATGTTTTACATTGATTCCAAACGCAACCTAAATGTTTTTTGTTTTTGTTGTTTGGTTGAACTTCACTTTAAACATTTTTTACTCTCCACCTCAGATTAATACCCATTAAAGTGTGCCACATCAGCATTTGGTTTCAAAAAACACTAGGGCGTTGGGGGAAACAAAATCAAAGTGTTTTAATTTTCTATACTTTATTTGATAAACGGTGAAACCAAACAATTGTTTCATTTTGCTTCATCTCCAATAAATGCCAACGTTTATGTGGTGCTGATGTGGTGGCGTTTTTTCAATAAATGCCGACGGAACCAAACATCCCCTAAGTTAATATCGTGTAAGTCCATATACCATGAAATATGTTAAGAAGGTACCAATTCTAATTAGTTTATTTTTATTAAATGTTTTTTCATATTAATTAACTTAATTAATTATTTATTATTAGTTTCAAAAACTTATGTTTTATCATTTTGTTAATTTTTTATTATTTATTAATTACTTAATTTTTGTTAATAATATCATAATAAATAACCTTGATAAAGTTTAATTTTTAACTTATGAATTACTGCTTTTTTATTAATCATTATTAGTAGATAAATTTGATTTATTTTTTATTTTTATCATTTTAAGTGTAATTGAAATTAATAAAATAAAATTGTAAAACTACTAAATTCATATTATTTGTCTCATTTAATCTTTTTTTTTTCTATTTTTATTTTCGTTAGAAACTTTTTTATTAATTGGTTATAAATTAGTTAAAATTATAAATATTATAGTTAATGAATTTTATTAATAGGGTGGAKTTAATTAATTTATTAAATTAATAAATTAAGTAGCATAATTAGTTTAAGTTAATTAAGTAATTAATTGTGGCAAATAATTAACTAACTAATTATCTTACTATGTTATTAAGTTGTTAAGTTAAATAAAATAAATTTCAGTTATTAATATATGTACTAAGTTGACTTCATTAGGTAAAGTTAAGTAGATTAGTTACTTAATGAAGCTAAAGTTAGACAATTAT